ACACAGGCCAGAGAGCAGGGAGTGGCTGTTAGGCAGGAAGAGGAAGCATCTGGCCATGGCAGTTCCTGCCCCACACACTAGCAACCATTGCCTTCCTTTAGCCTGGACATGGCCTCCTTGTGAACTGTGAACCCCGGCAATACCAAGCCATGCCCCAGTCTGTGACTCCCCAGGCCTTGAGGGTCCCTGGCATGAACAGAGCACAAGGGCTGCCAGGGCAGGGCTCTGAGGGTCAGGTGTGACCTCCAGGGCAGAGCTGGATGGGCACCCCTGAAGGTGGCCCTGTGGAGGACAGTATCCTCCACCTTCCTGGAGGCCAGTTCTGAGACACCCTCCCCGCTGCCCGTGCTGAGACCTCGCCTCTGGCTGCACAACATTCTCCTTGCAGCCTCCTGTTACACATTGAGGACACAGGAATCAGGGTCTGTCTATGCCTCCCCTACCCAACCAAAACACAGCTTTGAAGGTGGGGCCAAGTCTTTGGACTCCATAAGTTCTGGCTTTTTGCCATGGTGTCTCTTCTGAATCTTTCCTAAAAAGAGCTTCTTAAACACTAAAGTTTAGCAACTACAGAGAGCAGCATGTAGCCCACTATGCCCAGGCAGAGCAAGTGCCCACAGACCTGCTGCTTGTCCAAGAGCTGTGTCATCCACACCTGGAAAGCCTTCTGAGCTCTGTCAGCACCTCCTTCAAGGCTGTGTAATCTTGACTAATACCAAGGATGTGCTTTAAGTGGTTTGGGGCTATATATATAAGGAACCCAGGGGTTGATTCTTTTGTGTCTTCGATTCATTCCATTGGTGGAGTAGGCTTGAGGACCATGTCAGTTTTATCCATGTGAGCCCACTTCTTCCAGTCCCAAAGTGCAGCTGACACAAGGCCCAAAGTGTCTTACAGAGAGCCCACGTGGGAAGCCTCACACCACCTCCCTGAGCTCCAGTCCCGAAGAGTCACCAAGGCAGAAGTCATGGCTGGTGTCTGGCTGGCCTAAGGGTGTTCACACTGGGACAGATGCAGGAGGAGCCACCCATGGGGCAAAGGCTGTGGCTGGAGACACTGAGGAGGAAGTGAGCCATGGATGGGGCTTCTGGGAACAGACACTCTAGAGAGCATGCTGTGCGATCCGGAGTGAACACTGACTGGCTGGATAACCCAAGTCAGCACCCAACCCAGTGAGCCCTGGGAAAGAGGACTAGGCTCAGGCCAGGTGGTGGCAGCTTGTTATCAGAGGCGCCAAAGCTGCCCTCCAGGAGCCTGAGAGAAACCTCTGACATACCTCCCTGCGGGCTGCACCTGGCTGGACCCTCTTCAGCCACCTGGCCATGGCCTTCTTTGGGAATCCTGGACCCTCCACAGTACAGCAAAGAGGCCCTGGGACCCCACCCAGTGGTTGCCCTGTGTGGACACTCAGCAAAAGCAGAGAAAACCCACCTCTGAGGACTCCATGGTGTTTCATAATAGCCACTCGTAGGGTTTAGAAGTCAAGTCTAGCACCAAGGCCAGTAGTGCAAAGGCCATTACCAAGGCCAGCCGGCAGCTGGGGTGCTCACTGTGGGGCTAGGAGTCCTTCAGTATCAAGTGGATTCCACCAGGCCAGAGAAAGCAGCTCTTGACCTGCACCTTGTTATCTGTGGGAAAGCACTCTGGGCCATTCACGAACATAAGTAAATAGAGGGGATCTCGAGTGTGACTGTTTCCTCATCTGAACATATGAATGCATATTGTTTTATTCAATTATAAATAAAGGAAAAGAATGTCAACACTTTCATAGGAGGCAGAGTTTTTTGTTAATGCTACAGCTGTCTTCAGGTTACTCTAACAATGCACACCATCTGTGACAAAATCAAGTTCGTTGCCAACTTCAGTGGAGTGAATGAGCCTCTAAGAAAGCAGGAGAGGGGGGCAGGGCAGTGAGTACTGTGCTTGGAGAGGGAAGCTTGGGGAGGGGTTTCAGTACCCCTCTACTCCAAACAGGAACCTACCAGGGAAATTCTGCCATGTACTCCCTGGACAGTGTGGCTGATGCATGAGCACTTACTACAGGTGCATGAGCACCTGCAGTTTTCATTCCTAAGAAACAGAAAGATCATCTCTGCTCCCTGCATGATTGTTCTACAATCCACCTTGCTTTTCTAGGGGCTCCTACTGATGTAATGAAGTAGAAAGCCATGAATGCTTTGGCTCTGATCTTGTAGGAAAGAGAACATCATAAGGCGGCGGGGCTGTTACATGGCTGCCTTGTTTTCCTTCCAGGCTCCAAGCTCTGCGTGGAGTCAAGATGTGGGAAAGAAGTCTGCGTCTGGAAAGAAGTGGTGCCTTCCCTGGGACAGGTCAGGACTTCAAACAGGGTGACAGAAATGCCTGCTGGGAGTAGAAGGTCCTTCTGTCTAATAAACAGCAAGCTTCCAGGTAAGCCCAATACACACATGAAAGCCAGATTAAAAATGGGGCCGCTTCTCACTGATGATGGGGCATAGAGTCCCCAGGCTGCTCCTAGTAAGATGGAGAAGTCAGAATAACGCAGGCTCCACACATAGCCTCTGCTCTAGCTTTGCAATACCTAAGGCTCAGGCAGATTCGGCCTTGGCCAACTGAGCAGAAGCCACAGAGGCTGTCTTTCCCAGGGACAGGATGAGCTGAGTACAGCCCCAGAGGGCACACGGAGACAGACGAGGAAGTTAAGGAAATGCAAAAGCTTGATGCTATTTAAGGAAGAGCTTTCTAACAATCTGTGTTCTCCAAAAATGGAATTGGCTGACTCCAGAAGCCTGAGGGCTCTGTTCCAGCAGAACTGGGTGGCATCTGCCAGAGACACCTGCCACCCAGCCCTGGACTGAGGGCAAGCTGGCAGGCTCAGTGTAACCCTCTGCGACATGGGGACCTTGAGCTGGTCACTGTCAGGAAAATCTCAGCATGCAGGGTGTGAGTGCAGCCCACAGTTTTATTGTCTTTTCTCCTTCCAAGACAATGAAGAAAAAAGAGGAAGTCATCAAAGGAATTTTTAAGTAGCCCAGAAGTCTGGCATTGCCTTAGTCTACTGCCTACCAACTTACCAGAATCCTGAGAATATTAAAAAAAATTTTTTTCAAAGAAAGAAAGAGAAGGGACAAAGCAATAAAAAATAAATCTGCAATGTTTAGCACTACTATAGGTAGTGGAGCCGGGCGTGGTGGTGCACGCCTGTGATCCCAGCACTTGGGAGGCTGAGGCAGGATTGCTGTGAGTTTGAGACCAGCCTGGGCTACATAGTGAGTTCCAGGTCAGTCTCAACTACATAGTGAGACCCTGTCTCAAAAAACAAAACAAAACAAAACAAAACAAACCAATCAAACAAAAAAAGCAGGTAGTTGGTGAGAGGCTGAAGTTCTAGAAAATGTTATGTCTTCACCACGCAGTTAATTAAGAGCAAGAAGCATAAGACAAGAGTGTCTCTTTCAAGTGACATGCTTCTGCAAAGAAAAAAATGATACAAGAAAAATAAAGGGAGCGTGTTTAGTGGAAGAACCAGACAGCGATGACAACCGGAACCTGCCCACCAGGCCCAGATCCACACTTGCCCATGAGCTACATGTATAACACAAAGCCCTGTATCTCTCTTCTCCCTCCAGATCACGAGAAAAACCTCATTTGCACCACGAGAGAGCCAGCCAATAAATGTAGGCTTGAGCTGATTTGGAGCAGAGTTGAGACTTTCCAAGCTGGAGAAAATGAAAGACGAGCATTGTGCAACACCCACCAGATCGGAGGCATGATTTTCTTTTCCATTTTCCCAGGCACCCCTCCCCTCCCTCCTGAAATGAAACAAATCCTTTCGTTAGAAATAACAAGAGGAAACTGGGGTAAATGCAGTACCAGTGACAATGCTGACTTATTGCAGCAGCATCCCCGTAAGTGATAACCTGGCTACAAACAGCTCTTACTCACATAAGGAAGAAGAGGAAAAACATCAGGCAGGGAGCTATTCTTCACAAGAGCCCCACGTTAGCTCCTCAGATAACATGCAGCAGCAACTGCTGTGGCAAACCTGTGTGCAGGGCAGCAGGGCTGGACACAGTTCACGTCTCAGGCTCAAGGCGGTGGCTCCACATCCTGACACTGGCTGTGATTTACACGGGGTCTGAGCATGGCCGGCAAAGATCCATCTTGGAAATGTGATCACCACTCTGAGGCACTCAGAGGATGCACATGCATCCCTACTGTGGTGTTCAGGAGCCTTTGAGCTGGGATGGGGATTAGGTAATGGAATTAGCACTGGACCCCACGATCAAATGCTGCTAGATTCAGAAGAAGAAAGAGCCCAGGAGACACACACACTTGTACACATGCTCTGTGTCTTGCTGTGATGCTCTGTGCCACGTGGATCCTGCCAGTGAGAAGCCATCACCAGATGTGACCTCTTGACCTTGCACCATGAGTGTAAGCCAAAGTAAACCTTTCTTCTTTATAAAGTGACAAAGCCTCAGGGATTTCAATACAGTGACCCAAGACTAAGACACCAGGAAAGCATAGAGGCCCAAGTGGAGATACGGTGGTGCCTGCCTGGAGCTCCCACAGGTGGCCAGGTCCCCTTGATGTTACAGGTCTAGGTGCCCCAGCCACCAGCTTAACCAGCAGTTCCTGGATTGTGGTATGAAATGTCATCCATCTCGGAGGGGGAAAACATTCCACTATCCTCCTTGCTCACAGGTCTGCTGAGTGGATTTTGTGAGGGAGAAAACAGTTCAAGGAAGGACAGAAGGAAGCAGGGCTATGGATGCTCACAGGTGGTCAGTCCATTTCAGGGTCCTCTAGCGTTGTGACAGGAGGAGAGGACAATGGGGTGGGGTCATGTCAGACTCCAGCCTACGGGGTCTCCAGAGAAGGAGCGGCCATGTACTTTCCCACCTGACGTCTTACCTCTTACATATTTAAATCAGACATTTACACGAAAGCAAACCCCTAGCCAGAGGAGCCTCCCTGCCCCGAAGCGCCAGGTGAGACAGCCCCCGTGTGCGACTCACCCAGAGTGTCCTTGAGGTTCTTCACCAGCGAGCCCTTCTTCAGGCTGTTCTTGCGCTCCACGTAGTTGGACGGCACGTAGCCCGTCCTGTTGGCAGCGTTCCGCACCCGCCACCACGTCTTGGAGTCATCCAGCAGCCACAGGCGCTCGTTCTTCTTGATGTCAAGTTCCTGGTCCTGCTGGGCAGTGTAGTCCCACTTGGCTATGACGATGACTTCCTCTGTCATCTTTCATGGAGTCCTTCTGCCAGCGAAACATTTGGAGACACTCATTAGATGGCCGCCTGACCATTGTGTCCTTGAGCAACGCAAGACATGTGGCAGTGACAGCTCCTATGACAACTCTGCTACTGCTCTCTGCGGGACCAGGGAAGGCTTGACCTTGGAATGATCTTCCTTCCACAATCATGCCTGTTTTGCATAGAAACAGCACCTTCTGCACATGCAGCGTGAACCCTGCATGTGCCACCAAGGCCAGACACAGACTGCAAACCTCCTAACCAGCTCATAACCTATGCGCCCACTGCACGAAGGGACGCCGGCTCTGCATAGCAGATGGGTTTGCATTCATTTATCTTCTCAGCCAGCACATGCTCAGCTTTATGACATACTCAATCAGTACAACACACCTACACTGCTCCTATAAATTCAAAGGGAAATTAAGAGAGCTAAAGCAATGTGTCTTCCTGGTTTGGATCATTAAATAGAAAAGGGAACTCAGTGGAAACACTGGTGAGGTCCAGATGAAGGCCAGGCAGGAGTGATTACCAATGCTGGTTTCCTAGTTTTGACAGTGCAGAGGGAGACCTCACCACTATGCCAAACCAACTAAAGGAGCAAGAGGGCGCTCTGTGCTACCCTCACACCATTTCTGTGAATACAAAAGCACTTTAAGAAACCCAAGATCCACAGGAACTCGGCACGGGGTTATTTGTGACAGTGTTATTCCTAACTGCCCAAACTTGGGAGCAGCCAAGCCATCCTTTGGGAGGTGAAAGAATGGCTCACAGAGGGAGTGCAGTGACATGAATGCTAAAATGAAAGGAGCTGTGGAGCCAGGGAAAGACCCAGGGGGCCCAAATGCACCTAACTGGGGTGCAATTCCAGCTGAGTCTTCCTGTGGCCGAACCTCAGTTGGGCTCCTCTGGCTTAGGCCTTTACCTTGATGTTTTCTGTTTCCATCTCTGCACAGCCAAGCATTAGCACGGATTCTGCTAAGTGGGTCTAGGAAGAATCTCCCCAAGATAGCTGGCTGGCCTCCTCTCCTCTTGCCAGTGATGGGTGATGGTTGCTCACTCCTGTCTGCGTCACTCAGAATCCCGCTGGGCTGGTTCAGACAGACCCTTTACCCCAAGTTTCCTCTCCGTGATCTTTCACCAGCCCTCCAGCCTTGATGCCCCACCTCACTGTTCCTTCTTCTCAGAGCTGAACACTGTCTCTTTTCCTTGCCTATTATAAAACTCCACAGTGCAGCCCCCAAATAGTCTGCCTTACTGTTCTTTAGTGACTGTCATGAATAACAATTCCCATGATCTGGCACTCTACAAAAGGCGAGTCAGAAGGAGAATCCCTGATTGCCATGGGCAAGGAGGCAGAGACGTACACACAGGTGAAGCACAGAGAACTCAGGTGTGAAACTGCAGACACCACAGCCATGGACACCCATCACTACCTCTGTCCAGATGCATAAGGTGTGCAACAACAAACAAAAGCAAGCATCAAATTACTCCAAAATCAAGTGTATTAAAACTACACATACACATCCAGTAAAGTCCATGTGGGAAGTAGTAAAGGGCAAACATGTATGTAAGTAAATACTATACACATCCAGTAAAGTCCATGTGGGAAGTAGTAAAGGGCAAACATGTATGTAAGTAAATACAGTGATTTGCTCAACTATTTCAGCAACTCCAGCCTTCTTAGGCAAAAGAAAGGTCAGCATACTTCCAGCAGAAAAATTTCAATATCCATTCCTTCCAGTGCCGCAGTTTCCCCCAAATTAGGAAGGCAGCAATGAGGAAAAGATACTTGACTCCAACATCTTTCAGTCTCCACAGAGTCCTCGGTATTTATGGGATCAGTGCAGGATGATAAAGGGGCCCTGTAGTGTTGACTCCATAGAAACCCATGGGCCATTTTAAATCACATGATACTTAATAGTAAATATCAGACACATTCGTGAATAGCACATATTTTTCTCTTTTATGAATCAACTTCCAAAATGTAGAGATAAGAAGCTTTTAGGGAAGAAAAGCATAGCGTATGGAATATCCAGACAGGCAGAATCCACACAAAGCCCATCTCAAAACTGCAGACAATTTCGTCATCAAAGGTCAGAAAACCCCAAGTCCACACCATGTAACTGGCACACCTGACCATGATGTCAGGTTAGGCTTCTGAAACCCTGCTTAAAGAAAGGGTGGGGACAAAGTAGGAACCACACAGGGCTCGGAGAATGTCCCAAATGAACACCAGGCTTCCTACCTAATTCTACAATCAGACCAATCCAGGCCTAGTCACCAAAGCCATTCATTAACCGTTCTTCCAGAGAGCAGTCAAGAGAGGGGCTAGCCAGCAGGTCCCTTTCCACACATGCAGATGTCACGGCATTGCCCAGTGAGCTGGTCCACAGACAGTGATGAGGAGTGGAAGGTTCCTGGACCTTGGGGACGCTCGAGCTGGATGTGCTGTTGGGTGTTGGGGCCAGGTTTGGCACTGGGGCATGACCCGGAAGCAGGTATCACCCTTCCCAACTCCTCCCTATGCTCTGCTTCCCAGCTGCCTGCTGTGAGCAGCTCTCCTCCATCTGGACCCTTCCACCATGCCTCTGCCCTGCCAGAAGTTTTGAAACTTCTGAAAAGTGCATCAAAATGAACCTCTTCTCCTTTAAGTTTCTGGGTTGGATATTTTGTCCCAACCCTAGGAAAGCAACTAAGACTGCCACCTTCACCCATCAGGGCAGCCTCTCTCACAAGGTAGCTAGGAAGAGCAGCTCCCTCCTGAGTTTGCCAAGAAGGCTCTGAGCATGGTGCCTACACAGAGGACACTCAGAGATAGCAACCACAGTCCCAGCTGTGACTCTCTTCAAGAGTCAGGGCAAGTCTTACTTGTGAGAGGGCTGTGTTCTATCCAGTTCTTCTTTCATTCATCTGTGGGTTTTCTGGGCACAGAGTTTCTCTGGTGTCTGCTGCCTTGTGGTTCAAGCCTGTGAATTATCAGCCACCCCAGCTCCCCACAGACATCAATACCACTGTCCTGGCCCTTAGTTTACTCCCTGTAGAGCCTTTAGTGCCCTTGAGACAGCTTCTGTCTATCTGGGAGGCCACAGGAGGTGCTGGCCACATCTGTGTAGACCTCAGCCACATAGTCTAATGGCAGCCCAAGGACCGACCAGAGAACCAAGAGAGACAGGTTAATCCACATCTACTTTGTTTAGTCTTCTACCAACCCACCATTCAGCCAGTGCACAACAACCAGAGGCACACAGCTTTGCAGAACCAGCAATCCACTCTGCAGTGTAGACTTCAGTGGAGGGCAGAGGGCTTAATTCTCATGCATTCAGAATGCATGCACAGAGACACAAGGCATGCCTCACTGTATTCCAAGGTACAGACTAAAAATGCTAGAAAAACATAGGTGTGCACGACTGTGTGCAGACACCAAGCCTATTTGCTCATGTGCATGTAACTGATTTAGAAAGTAAGCAGGTGGAAGAAGGAATTGAGACGGT